TTTAGTGATGATTTTTATCAAACTTGTATATTTTATTTCATTAATTTCACTTAAATAACAATTAATAGGTAATTATCATTGCCATTTAAGTGAAATCACTGAACTTAAATATACAAGTTTGATAAAAATCATCATTAAAGAAGAAAATTTCAAATGGCATTTACAGGCTTTTGCATCTGAACTCTTCATATACTTTGCAAGTGTTTTCAATATCATGAATGGGCCACAACATAAACACACTTCACATAATTCTGATATCTTTGTCTCTCTCATGCACTATTTTTTGCACTATAATAAAACGCATTCCTCTGTGTGTGTGCAGGTGCTGTGTAAGGAGTCTATCTGGGCGTCACGCTGTTACTGGGAGGTGCTGTACTCCGGCTGGGTGATTATCGGGGCGACGTACGAGGGTGCGGGGAGGAGGGCCGGCGACGGGACCTGTGGCCTCGGGGAGAACGAGGAGTCGTGGGGTCTGGGTTGGTCCGGGTCCTGCTACGACGCCTGGCATAAAGGAATCAACAGAAGGGTGGAGGGCACTCATCAGTGCTCCACTATAGGCGTGTATGTGGATCAGCCCGCAGGCCTGCTCTGCTTCTACGCCGTGGAGACGGACGAAGAGTCAAAGAAGAAACAAGTGAAACTCATTCACAGGTTTAAGAATCCCATAAAGGAGAAAACTCTGCCAGGCTTCTGGTTGGGAGTACAGTCCTCTTGTGTAATACTCAAGAAAGAGGAATGAGGAGAACGGGAACACAAAAGCAGGATTTTGTGGAGTTAAAATGTATATAATAAATACAATTCGCTACATGTAATAGTTTTACAGTTCAGACTGCTCTTTGGTTGCTGGAAGTTATATATGATATTGAGCTTTAACATTAAATTGTCAAATAAACCTGGCATTGTACAGTGTATTACGATTAATGTTGGCTCTCTGATGAATTGCTTTTATTCTTCTTTTGTACGTTGCTTTATCTTTTTCTAAATGCATAGCAATACATGCAATGAAAATGTAAATTGCAAAGCAATATGGTAGATTTCATATCATCCCATTTTTATTTTAAATTATTATATAGGCTACACTTTTTTATTCTCACATGATCAATGCCAGCTTCGCAGACTCTGAGATTAAAATAAGACAACGCTTTATTTCGACAATCCACTTGAAATTCTACTAACTATAAATAACTTTGCAACTACATGTCAGCTATAGTGATTAGAGAATCAATAAACAATCTTTTTAATATTTGCTGAGACTTTATTTTGATGCTCCTCAACAGAAATTCTATATTGACAATGACATAATATTGGTTTGTGACGGAAATACTGTGCGTCACATCTCTCATCGCGAGTAGCCTATTCATTATTGGGATTTATTAAATCATTTATTTTGTGATGGCATTCACTTAAGTTGGTGAAATGAACAAAATATAAAATATACATATAAACAGAATAATACTATATGATCTGACTGCATTAGAGATTTGTGGTTCTGTAAATTGACATAATATTCAGTGAATCCGAACAAACCTGGACAGAAATATTTCACAGATGTACGGTTTATCAAGCTCTGAGTCTGATGTGACCACTTTAACTCAAAAATACACCATCGGATAAAAAAATTGCACAAAATACGATTGAACCCTTCTGCAAAATGGTGTCATAATTAGCATCAGTTCATGTGATGGCATTCATTTAAGTTGGGGAAATGAACAAAATGTAAAATATACATATAAACAGAATAATACTAGCTATATGATCTGCATTAGAGATTTTGGGTTCTGTAAATTAACATAATATTCAGTGAATCCGAACCAGGTTTATCAAGCTCGGAGTCTGATGTGACCACTTTAACTCAAAAATACACCATCGGATAAAAATATTGCACAAAATACGATTGAACCCTTCTGCAAAATGGTGTCATAATTAGCATCAGTTCAACGCGTGTATCTTGCTGTTCTCAAAAGTTGTGTGCACAGCACCACCTAGCGGTCTACACTATTATAATCAGTTTAATAATCGGTATCAGTGTACACAGTTCACTTCGCATAAAAGCTGCCTTTATCAAACATAAATCCGATCAAATTCTTGGAAGCAATCCTAAAATATAGGCCTATAGTTTTTAATTACATAAACGTACAATGTATTCGACTGTATAGTTGAATAGTTGAGAACAGCTAGACTGTCTGAAACTGCTCCACAGGGCTTGGATTATGAGGCGTGTCTTAACCGAACCAGGAAAAAAAACTCTGCACTCAATTGGATAGTCGGTAGACCTACAACCAATCAGAGCAACGCAATAAGTCAACTACTTTGCATATCACAGATGTCAACAGAACTTACTTTTTTTTAGAAGTAAAATAACGAGTGTTGCTTCTTTTACTTGGTCCTTCATCTTTGGTCCTTCATAAACCACAACGACCACAGGCTTTTCATTACGTCCCATCTTGTCAGAGCCAGCTGAGTTACACTTTTCCCGAATCATTTAAGGAAGGACGGCAAAAATACAATATTATGAAGCTGATCGACAAATGCCTTGATTGTAGTTCTCTGTTTGTCTATTAAAATTAATGCGCTTTCGATTTATTTCACAACGCGACAGCGGAAACTATCTCAATTCTCCTGATGCAGGACTGCCTTCATCTTTGAGGGAAACCAGTTCAGCGCTCTTTGATAACGTGATGATTACGTCCCTGCAGATCATCTGTCCATCATCGTATAAAGCCCGCCCTGGCAATCTGATTGGCCAGTTCATTTTTTGCCTGATCATAATTACTCCTCAATGGATCAAGTCCAGACCGAACTTCCCGATCAAAAAATGTTGTGGGCGGAGTTCGGGCTGGCATCCACAGAACAGCTGCATTCAGCAGGAAATGAAGTCAAATGAAGCTCTTGGGGTTTGAACATGGTCACTGGAGACGAGCTGCTCTATTCTGAGACGTCACAATCACTAAACCTGACAATGCAAATCACATTTTCAACTGAAACTCACAGTTTCTCTCTTTTACTGGTTCAACCTCTGAACTGGAACAGTTTCACTTCTGCTGATGGATTCATTAGTCCGTTTGTTAGATTTCATCATGAGTTAGCCTACATGTTGGCTCATCAACACACACTATATTCACACATGCAATCTTTATACATTTCCACTGTACATGGATGTGTAAAATTGCACACAAAAAACAACAGTATGAAATGTTTGAGATGTTGATATTGATCCAATGTTTGAAAAAGCTGTCATATACAGCACTGCTAAATTATACAATATATAAAATAAATGTATTTTTTGGATGGTGGCGGACTACACCTGTTTGCTATTTGGTAATCTGGTCTTTAATTTTAAAATTAATCGTAAAATTCCATAATAAAGATATTAAAAATGTTCATCTGCTCTGAAGTTGAGGATTGTATGTTATGATGCTGTTTATATATGAAGGATGAACTTTAAAAATCGATAGACTTATTAAACTGACCAAGATGAACATATTTATGATGCTAGTGATTAGAATGAGGATAAATCATAAATGCAGAAAAACTAAAATATGGTGAAAGATTGAAAATTATCCACTAGTGACGATGTAATGTTTCAGAATTTCCTCAAAAAAAAAAAGACTGAAAAATCAGGATCAAAACAGTCATATACTGACGAAGCTCAAACTTTTACAAAGTATATTATTATTATTATATAACCGCTTATTATAAGATCATATCGCTTTTCTTAGTGTGTGTGTGTGTGTGTGTGTGTGTGTTTGAGCAGCTGCAGTTTCAGTTCAGTCACTGTGACTCTGACTGATCGAGGTTTTTGTACGACTCTTTATCACTGTGTGAACATATTTACACTGTTGATGTAGTGATAACTCTGACAGTAATAATGTCCAGCATCTTCAGTCTGGACTCCACTGATGCTCAGAGTGAAATCAGTCTTAGATCCACTGCCACTGAATCTAGATGGAGTTCCTGACTGAAGGACATTTGCTCTATAGATCAGGAGTTTAGGAGCTTCTCCAGGTTTCTGTAAGTACCAGGATAAAGGCTGAACACCCCAACCCTGATAGACTTCAGGACTGGTTTTACAGGATATAGTAAATGTGTCTCCTAGAGGAACAGATTTCACTGCCGGCGTCTGAGTGACTGTCACTGCACCAACTGATTCTACATCAAGAAGAATAAATGAACATTCAGAATTACATATTTGGACAATATTTCAAGCACTGTTTGTTAATCAGTTCAAATAGAGCAGTTTAACTTCATATTTCCTGACCTGTGAAACAGCTGGAGAACATCCAGATGAAGATGATGAAGATGAAGCTCATGGTTGCTGCTGGTTTAATTAGATTCTCAGTGTTCAGATTCAGAGTTATAAACCTCCTGAAGCATGAGCTGCGATGCAAATAATCTATATGTAAATCTGTGTACGGATTCCAGCACATGACGCTCATAAATCATAACAGTGTTTGGGATATTTTTCCATGTTACGAGTCATAAACATTTATTCCTGTGTCTGAAGCTTCAGGCTTTCTGATGATTCACATGACAGAGTTGCTGCACTAGTATGTCACTGTGAACTTCATTAGAGGGCAAAGGTCATTCCAGAGGTCAAAGGTCATCAGAATGTATTAAAAATGCTTTAATCATTAACAATGCACTGAGATTAATGATGTCAGTAGTTTTGATTGGACAGTTATGATGAGCGATATCTTTATTATTATCTTGATAAACCTCTAGTGAAAGATTAAGCTACTTGTAAAAGCTAAAAAAAACACGCAGTGGCAGACTGTATTAATATTCAGACTCTTTTTATCTAATAGTCATCAGTCTAATAGAGCTGATTTCAGTCATAAGTTAGTCTGCAGCACATGTGTAGTTTATCTGTGTGTGTGTGTGTGTGTGTGTGTGTGTGTGTGTGTGTGTGTGTGTGTGTGTGTGTGTGTGTGTGTGAGCAGCTGCAGTTTCAGTTCAGTCACTGTGACTCTGACTGATGGAGGTTTTTGTACGACTCTTTATCACTGTGTGAACACACGATCACCCACACAATCATTATCAGAATCTGTTCTGCAGTGGAAACTCTGACAGTAATAATGTCCAGCATCTTCAGTCTGGACTCCACTGATGCTCAGAGTGAAATCACTGTTAGATCCACTGCCACTGAATCTAGATGGAGTTTCTGACTCGAGGGTTTTTACGTAACGAATCAGGAGTTTAGGAGCTTCTCCAGGTTTCTGTAAGTACCAGAATAAACTTTCATCCCCATCATCCCATCTGTACACATCTGTGCTGGTTTTACATTTGATATTGACAGTTCCTCCTGGTTGTTCTGCTGTTATTGAGGGACTCTGAGTGACGGTGATCTGTCCTCTACACTCTGAAACACACAACAAGAAAATACACTCAAAACTTTGACAATATACTCGAAGAAATGAATGAATATCAAACTTGTGCTCCACAAACCTTGAGCAAACGCTGTGAGAGTCCAGATGAAGATGATGATGAAGGTCATGTTGATGAAGATTGTTGTGTGTGTCAGTGATGAAGTGTTAAACTCACAGCACTATAAACACTCTCACACACTGAAGATCGGATCAATATGCAAACACACTCCACATCATTTCCCTGAAGACAGCAGAAACACTGTTTTGTCTTTTAGTGTCTTTGCTAATAAACTTCTGTTTATCATTTTCATAAACACACACTCATGATTTACTTCATGTTATTTTGGGTCGATCTTCTCGCTCTAAACACAGTTTTAATGATCAGTTTCATTCAGACTTTGATGCTGAGAGCATTTAATACCTGTGCTGTGTTTATATCATCCATGAGACTGTAGAACAGGTCAAAGGTCATCCAATAGAGAATGACCATCTAAATCTGGCAGAACATTTCATTATAAAGCAGGACAATAGAATTGATATAAATGTCACAAATGTATTTTTTGAGTGATTATGAAACATGACAATGATTTCAGGCTTCATGTAATACATTTTTTATTTTTAAAGATGAAAATTTTGTGGCTCTTTTTCAATCAGATGTTGAGAAGATCTGCTGTTGAGTCTTAAATCTCTCTCTCTGTGTGTGTTGTTGGTCTCTTTCTCTGCTGGTGTGTGTGTTCATTTGAGTGTGACGGAGGTTTTTGTACGACGCTTTCACTAGAATGAAACACTGTGGTACACTTTCGGTGGAGGAACTGAACTGACGATCAGAACCTGTAAGTCTTTCTTAAATTATATAATGAAACTTAATGATGTGTGTGTGTTTTTAAAAGAATGTTTAATGTTATTTAACAGAATTTATAAAAAACAAACATGATTGATTTTAACATAATATTATTGCATATTAAAACATAATAGATTTCAAGTCTTATTTATTGTCACATTTTTTTCTATTTTACTGATTGATTTCATGTATTTCATTATTATATTGTTTGATATATTATAAATATATGATATTTGGTGATATTCCATATTTTTTAAATTCCAATCCAAACTGTAACTTTTACAGTAAGAAAAGGCAGTTTTGTTTATTATTTTCACTTCAAAAAACAACAAATTAAATTTAACAAATGAAATATCTATTACAGTTTTCACTGTATACAGTACAGGAACAAGTCATTTACCAATCAACAGGTTTTTACCGTAGTCCTTTGCCGTTAAAATTACGTCATCATTTTTTACAGTGCACATTTAGTAATATTCAATATTGATTTAATGAAGCATATTTTAAAACTAAACTCAGGATAATGTCTATGAAGGAAAGCAGTGCGGTGAAACTACAGTAAAGATGATATGATTGTGCTTTTTACTGTATTATAAAAATCATAATTGAAAATTGGCTGAAAATTGCGATTGATTGTGAGTATTAAATTAAAATAATATTTTTTAAAAGATGTTAATATTATTATAATTTGTTATCTTACTCTTATAAAGATATCACAATGTATTAATCAATTTTAACGTGGACAATGTTTTTAAAAATTTGATTTAGGTCCTGTAATTCAATTCTGAAAAAAATCTTATTTTTACATTTAATAATTCATATAAATGTTTTTTTTTTCATTTTACACAAATAATTCAACATCTTATTATTGCTAACATTTAGTTCATGTCATGTTTTGACTGCAGATCCTTCAAAATCTATTCAATTATTTCTTCATATATAGTTTTGTCTACAATTCTTGGTAGATGAAACAATGCATGAGGTTTTATAATACAATCAAAATATATATTTGGGTTCATCAGACAAAAGGAAACTTAGTGGAAGAGCGTTTAAAAAAATATCATTTGACCAATGCTTTTCAAACTCATTCTGGGGATTATTAAAAATGTAAGTTGTATATTTAAAGTGAAATGATTGTTATTCTCCATGTGTGTGTGTTTCAGCCGGGCCCTCCGTGTCTCCCTCCGTGTCTCTGCTGGTCTCTGGAGACTCCTCCGCTCTGCTCTGCCTGCTCAGCTCTTACTCTCCAAAGGGGGCGACGGTGAGCTGGACGCTGGACGGGTCAGAGGTCACCGAGGGGGTTCAGACCAGCGCAGAGAGCGAGCGGGACGGTCTCTACAGTCGCAGCAGCGTCTTGAGCCTCAGCAAAACACGCTGGGAAGGCGCAGGGACAGGGCGCTTGGTCTGCAGAGGAACACATGCCGGAGCTGCTCACGAGGCCTTGTTCCTCAAGAGCTCCGACTGCTGATGTTTCTCCAGTGAAGACCAGCGGATCTGAGCCGAGTCACGTGATTTACAGCTCAATACTGAAGCAGTCTGTCAATGTGCTGCCATTGCTGTTCATTCAATAAAGCTTCATCTGAACGCCTTACATGTGTGTGTGACTGCATCATTGATCATCAGTGTGTCGTTGCACTAAAGTTTCAGCCGCTTTTGATTGGTTGTAATAGTTGAGAACAGCTGCATTCAGCAGGAAATGAAGTCAAATGAAGCTCTTGGGGTTTGAACATGGTCACTGGAGACGAGCTGCTCTATTCTGAGACGTCACAATCACTAAACCTGACAATGCAAATCACATTTTCAACTGAAACTCACAGTTTCTCTCTTTTACTGGTTCAACCTCTGAACTGGAACAGTTTCACTTCTGCTGAAGGATTCATTAGTGCGTTTGTTAATAAGATTTCATCTTTACGAGTTACATGTTGGCTCATCAATTGCGTAAAAACAAACAAACCTTTACAAATCTTTAATATAAAAAACTAACTATAAATACATTTCCACTGTACATGGATGTGTTAAATTGCACACAAAAAAACGTCAGTATGAAATGTTTAGATGTTTGAAATGTCGATATTAATCCAATGTTTGACAAAGCTGTCCTATACAGCACTGTTCAATTATACAATAAATATAAAATAAATGGGATTTTTTTTTATGGTGGTGGACTACACCTGTTTGGCTATTTGGTCTTTAATTTTAAATGCTATGTAAAGATATTAATTTAAATGATATGAATGTTCATCTGCTCTGAAATTGAGGATTGTGTTTTAAGATGCTGTTCATATATGAAGGATGAACTTAAAGAAATCGATGGACTTATTAAACTGACCAAGCAGAGCATCTTTATGATGCTAGTGATTCAGTTTAGAAAGAAGAATGAGAATAAATCATAAATGCAGAAAAACTAAAATATGGTGAAAGATTGAAAAATATCCACTAGTGACGACCAAATGTGTCTGAATTTCCTCATGAAGGACTGAAAATAACAGGAGAAAAATGATTGAAAAATCATCATCAAAACCGTCATATACTGACAAAGCACAAACTTTCATATTATTATAATATATTATTATTATTATTATTATTATTATATTTCTTATTATAAGATCATTTTGCTTTTCTTAATGTGTGTGTGTGTGTGTGTGTGCAGCTGTAGTTTCAGTTCAGTCACTGTGACTCTGACTGATGGAGGTTTTTGTACGACTCTTTATCACTGTGTGAACACCCAGTTACTGTTGATGACATGGAAACTCTGACAGTAATAACGTCCAGCATCTTCAGTCTGGACTCCACTGATGCTCAGAGTGAAATCACTGTTAGATCCACTGCCACTGAATCTAGATGGAGTTCCTGACTGACGGCTGTTTGTCCAATAAATCAGGAGTTTAGGAGCTTCTCCAGGTTTCTGCAAGTACCAGGATAAACGATCTCCACCAAACACATCTCTGCTGGTTTTACATTTGATATTGACAGTTCCTCCTGGTTGTTCTGCTGTTATTGAGGGACTCTGAGTGACGGTGATCTGTCCTCTACACTCTGAAACACACAACAAGAAGAAAATCAGCAGAATAAATGAACGATCTTTGCTAAAACAAGTAAATGTAAAGTAGTAAATGCAGTGAAAGAGTATCACCGTTGAGGATCAGCAGCAGAGAGCAGATGATCAGTGTGTGTGTCGTCATCTTTACTGGGAATGAGTGAAGCTGAAGGACAGAGATGTGGGATTGACAGTCTGACAGACGCTCTGATATTGAGCTTCAGTCACAGGGGTGGGACACACACATTCAAAGCCGTTTCCTCTCTAATGAGACAGAAGAGCAGAACTGACACACATCACAATAAAAACCTTCATTTCCCTCATCAAACACTCAACTGGTGTTAGTTTGCATCATCGTTATTCACGTTCAGCAACGGCACAGAAATGGATGTTGGGAGTAAGTTAACATGAGGATGAGGAAGCGAAGGATGAATTATTAGTATATTATAATCTTATTAATCACTCAATCGTCCCTTTAAAGCGTCATCAGCTGCGCTCAAGGAATTTGTGCTTATGTTTTTAAGTTTGGTTTAGAAATTCATAATAAAAAACAATAAAGCAAGATGTTCTGTTGAAATATGTGCAATGTATGATTGATTTAAACTGCATGAATGAAATGATTGTGACAGATGTGAAGGGGAGAATTCATACGCATGTCAGTTTCCTCTTCTTCTGCATGATTCACCTGTGCATCCTTAATGTGTCCGAATCTCTGTTTATTATGGAAATTGAGCTGCATATGAGTGACAGAGGCATTATGACGAACTCAGAGGTCATCTCAGAGGTCACAGGTCAAGTTGAAGTTGTAACAGTGCTTGAAGGCTCTGAAAACACATTTTTACACCATAAATGAATGTTTAGTAATTCTCCAAGAACACTTGCATCACACATCTGTGTTTAGATACATATTTCTGTGCCTTTATTGCCTCATGATTTGACTTTTTCTCTATGAAAATGAAAGTCTGTTATTAATATAAGGCGGTAACGGACAAACTGAAATCACTCGATCTCAGTCATGTCACTGATATATAAAAGCACAAAATCTCACAGATCCAGATTACAACACATTTATATTCTCCCTACAGACAGTAGAAATATGAGAACAAACACAAAACCCTGCAGAACAAACTAAATTTCACAGACATAAATAATAATCAAAATCAATAAAACCGAGTCTGACAGAGACATTGATGGAGTTTTTAGTTGCTTCTTTGTAGTCTTCTGACCTGTATAATTATTAATTATTAGTATCAGATTAATTTGTATGGTTTTATTTCAAATGCAAGTGTGACGATGTTATTTCAGATCCTCCTTCGAGCAGCTGCAGTTTCAGTTCAGTCACTGTGACTCTGACTGACGGAGGTTTTTGTACGACTCTTTATCACTGTGTGAACACATAATCACCCTCACAACTATTATCAGAATCTGTTCTGCAGTGGAAACTCTGACAGTAATAATGTCCAGCATCTTCAGTCTGGACTCCACTGATGCTCAGAGTGAAATCAGTCTTAGATCCACTACCACTGAATCTAGATGGAGTTCCTGACTGGAGTTTTTTTACATAATAAATCAGGAGTTTAGGAGCTTCTCCAGGTTTCTGGAAGTACCAGTATAAATCTTCATCCCCATCATCATCCCTGTACACATTTGTGCTGGTTTTACATTTGATATTGACAGTTCCTCCTGGTTGTTCTGCTGTTATTGAGGGACTCTGAGTGACGGTGATCTGTCCTCTACACTCTGAAACACACAACAAGAAAATACACTCAAAACTTTGACAATATACTCGAAGAAATGAATGAATATCAAACTTGTGCTCCACAAACCTTGAGCAAACGCTGTGAGAGTCCAGATGAAGACGATGATGAAGGTCATGTTGATGAAGATTGTTGTGTGTGTCAGTGATGAAGTGTTAAACTCACAGCACTATAAACACTCTCACACACTGAAGATCTGATCAATATGCAAACACACTCCACATCATTTCCCTGAAGACAGTCCCTCATTAACAGACACAAAACACAATCACTGACGTGAGAACAGAGTCAAAATCAGTCTTTTTCAATCTTCTAAAAGCCAAACTGTTCAAAATTGTATAATTCAATTCAGAATACATCTAGAAGACCAACTTTAGTATATTAATCTGAATATCTGCTGTGAGAATATTTTTACTGTGGTTGGATTGAAACGTCGCTGTTAATCCCCAAATTTGACACCAAATCCATGCGTGTTCCCGGTAAGTACGGATCCCAGCACATGACGCTCATAAATCATAACAGTGTTTGGGATATTTTTCCATGTTACGAGTCATAAACATTTATTCCTGTGTCTGAAGCTTCAGGCTTTCTGATGATTCAAATGACAGAGTTGCTGCACTAGTATGTCACTGTGAACTTCATTAGAGGGCAAAGGTCATTCCAGAGGTCAAAGGTCATCGGAATGTATTAAAATTGCTTTAATCATAAATAATGCACTGAGATGAATGATAGAATCAGTAGTTTTGATAGAAACAGTTATGATGAGTAATATATATATATTTATTATTATCTTGATAAACTTGTAGTGAAAGATAAAGCTACTTGTAAAAGCTCAAAAACACACAGTGGCAGTTTTGTGTGTTTGATTTGATATTAATATACAGACTGTTTTTATCTAATAGTCATCAGTCTAATAGAGCTGATTTCAGTCATAAGTTTTGAGCACATGTGTAGTTTATTTGTGTGTGTGTGTGTGTGTGTGTGTGTGTGTTTGAGCAGCTGCAGTTTCAGT